CGGGAAGCTTGGCTTCCTCCATTGCCGGTGGCAACCCAAGCCTCCTGCTTGATCCAGCTCCGTGGCCTCCACTATCTTAGTTGGGTTAATTTGCATACTTGCTCCTGATTGGTTTGTGGGTGTGGCTTGAGCATAGTGGAGGGATGGTTAATTTGCATGTTTCTCTTTTATTATATAGGAGAATTCCATAGCAGATGGCTCTTTGGCAAAGGAAAAGAAAGAAAAGACTGAAGCATCATGTGAAAATGGACTCCTATTCAACAAAAATAAAGCTTATCTAGTTATTATGGAAACAGAGAAATGGGTTTTACCTTCAGACAATGGCTGTAATAGCTTTATATCTTAATGTACCAAGTTGAACCAACACAGATCAAAGTTCAGCATAAATGTAAACTCCTAGTAGGAAACATAAGCAAACACAGAAAAAATACATTAGTGAAACTGTGACACTAGAGCTAAATATTTCCCTAGCCCTAGGTTTGCTAATATCAATATAATACTGCTTCAAAAGCTACAATTATAAAATATGATTATATATAATAATAGTATTCTCAAGTCTGAACAGATGGCTCATATAAACTATACTTTCCTAATGCTGTTTTTCTTAATTTCATTGAATTAAAAGTCTTATGTCTACACTTAGTCTTCACTCAGTCTGCCTACTTAGGATATAGTCATTATAACAAAGTTATTATGCTCTAAAATTTAAGTTCATATGGTTATATTTAATATAAGGTAGAAATATTTAAATTAGGTTGCTGTTAAAAGACTAGTTTACCATTTCAGCTAATTTGGGGAGAAGAATAGCTTGCTTGATCAACAGTGCTTTCTGTTGAGCTTGGATTTTAACTCTAACAATTCCAGGTCAAGAAAGACCATTAGCTTGTATGTTTTTGTTTATGTGCAGCTTGCATGTACATTAAGAATATCCAGTGAACCCCAGTAGAAGGTGATTCCTCAAGTAAGAGGCCATATAATTTCTCTAGGGCATAAAACACTTTGCCTTGAAAATTATTTCCTTCCTGCTTTTCATTCTTTGTAGTTATGATGTGTAAGGACAAATAATATCTGACATTTTGAGCATTCACTACTTGTAAGGTATTGTTCAAAGTGCTTTGATTAAGCAAGACTAATGAACATTGGTCCATCATTCCGAATATTTGCAATTTAGATTAATCTAATGATACTAATTGATTCATATTTTGTCTTAACCCCTCACTAAACTACTAATCATGAGCAAGTTTTATGGACAATTAAAGTAATTTAGTAAATTGGCACTCTAACCAAGAGTTTTGAACAAAGACCCATTGAAAAACACTAATGTAAGCTCCTCCCATTCCTCCACTAGAATATATGGGCCTTGAGGGCAGGGACTTTGTTTCTCTGCCATATTCCCTGTCTAGAAAAGTGCTCAGCACAAAGTTCATGCTTAGGAAGATCTATTGAATGAAAGGAATGACTATCACAAATGTGCAAACTTCTGAAAGCAATAAAGGTTACATAGGCTCCCATTTCTTTGTTCCTGCATATTCTTCTCAAGGGAATTAGATGAAACACTGCATAAAAGAGGAGATTAATCAATGACAACTCTTTAAATGCCAGTAGACCTTTCAAATTTGGATTTCAAAGCATCATCTCTTTGGTTTTATTATTGTTGAATCTTGTCATTGGTCTACTATAGTATATCACTAACAAATTCAAGCCACAGAATACCCAACTGTTGTTGAAGCTACTACTCTGGAAATAAAATAAAAGAACAAACAAAACAAAAACCTTGCTGAATAGGGACATCTGCTGGTTAAAATGTAATGTTTCTATCCTTAAAATACAGATGAACAAAGAGATGTGGGCAATAAAGTTGAGAGTAACACTAAGAACATGTGACATTGTGTTAAAATAACCTCTTTCCACTAGTAGTAATAAAAGGTCACATTTGCTTGTTTTAGTGCAGAGTTGCTCAAATAGTGACACTATCTGAAAAAATAATTAAGCTCTCCTATAGTCAGTAACTATTGCCACCGAATAGAAATTATCTTCTGATTTAAGACACTTGATTATCTTTTATCTCAATAGACATTTAAGTGTCTGCTAAGTTAAGGTACTGTGCCATATTCTGGCAAAGTGAAATATAAGACAAAGCAGAGGTGGCAGACGGTCCAGCCATCTCTGGCATGTGCTAATCTCCATCCTTAGAGGAGTGGATTTAAACTCAATTAATGTCTGTGAGGGACTGAGCCTACCACTTACCAATACTGTGTCCTTACCATTTTATAAATATTACTAGGGGCCCAGTGCATGAATTTGGGCACCTTGAAAGGAACTGTGGGCCACGAGGCTGTGGTGGGCACAGGGGCAGGTCTCAGCCCATCCTCTGCGTCCCTGCCCACACCTCCTGCTGCAACTCTCAATCCCTTCTCTGCTGGCAGCCTGGCTCCTGCTGCTGCCGCTCCCATGCACTGACAGTGCCAGAGCCACTGCTCACGCCCACTGCCAGCACTGGCCCCACTCTCACCCACAGCCAGTGCTGGAGCTGATTCATGTCCCCCGGTGGTCACCGCACATCATAGTGACTGGTTGTTCGGTTGTTCTGTCATTCGGTCTATTTGCATATTAGCCTTTTATTATATAGGATGTGGGCCAGTTGCTTTCTACAAATACACTCCTGCATTAGCTGAACAGATACCCTACCATACCTCACCCATTACTGTAGAGGAACCGAATTTTGATAATGTTCCATTAATAGGTCTCAGTAACGATCCTTTGCAAAAGAAAAAGAAGAGAAGAGGGTATGGACAGGTAGTGACCAGGTTGAGAAATTTAAGGACATATGGAGAGGAAACAGGAACACAAAATGGAGGGCAGGAAAAGGGTGATAAGACTGAGTGCCATAGCCCCAGAGAAAAGCCTAGAGGAGGAATCTGAGACAGAAGAGGAGCTGGAAGAGCCTGATGTGTGGCCCTAACTAGGGACAGTTTGTTCATTCCTCCAATAGCACAGGCATCCTCATCAGCGCTCTGGAAGCTCTGGAAGGCTTTCCAGTGTCTACCCATCAGCTGTATTAACAGGACACAGAGACTGTGTAAAAAGAAAATGGACATCTCAGCAATTGTATTTCATTTACTTTGAGCAAAAGCCGTTACAAGCATTTCTTTTTTTCTGAATCATACCATCCAGGACATGAGACTATCATGAAATAACAGAACCTGCCTCTCAATATCTGAAAGATTTTTATATTAATATATAATCTATCTATATATAAAGGCTAATATGCAAAGTGTCCCCTGGAGAGTTTGACAGGGAGACCAGGAGTTTGGTCACTCGCTATGACATGCGCAGGCGGTGGCAGCGGCAGGGCACTGAGTGAGTGAGGGAAGGAGGAGAGGGGGAGGTAGGGAACCTGATCCACCCTGATCACCAGCCAGGCCTAGGGACCCTACCCATGCACAAATTTTGTGCACTGGCTTCTAGACCTTTCATAAAAGAAAGGCAATTCCATCAATATTCTATCACTGATAAAGTTCATAAAAGTATTATAAAAAATTAGAACAAGTTCTCATGATTTTTCTACAAAATATTTAATTCTTAATTAAATAAATCCTAGGATAATATAAAATACCTCATGCACTCCCTAGGCACACATTGACTTAATAGTGAGGTAGGAATAACCTAGAAGTCTAACCGCAGAAAGTTGATCTAGGATTCAAATTATGTTATGGATAGCCTTGCAATGATATGCAAGTCACAGATATGCAAGTGTTATTAAAAGATTTACTTTTAATTATTAATGAACATCCTAGCAAACACCAATCTATCCTATCTATGAGATTTTTTTGTTTTTTATTTCACATATAAGAGAGATCATACAGTATACATCTTTCTCTGTCTGACTTGCTTCACTTATTATAATACCCTCTAAGTCTATCCATTTTGTAGCAAATGGCAAAATTTTTATGGCTGCATAATATTCCATTTTATCTATATACCACACCCTCTTGATTTTCATCCATTGATAACACTTAGGTTGTTTAGGTTTTTTCCATTATCTTGGCTATTGTAAATAATGTTGCAATGAACATTTGAGTGCATATATCTTTTCAAGTTAGTGTTTTTGTGTTCTTCACATAAAGACCCAGAAGTGGAATTGCTGGATCCTATGGTAGTTCTATTTTAGTATTTTTGAGGAACTCCATACTGGGTTGTTGTTGTTGTTGTTGTTTTTTTTTGATATTTGTATTGATTTTTGGAGAGGGAGAGAGAGACATCAATGTGAAAGTGAACTGCCTCCTACATGCTCCCCAATGGAAATTAAGTCCAAAATCCAAGTGCCCTGACCGGGAATTAAACCAGCTACCCTTCAGTACATCCAACCAACTGAGCTACACCATGCAGGATTAAAAAAAAAAAAAAGACAAGAATTAGCAAGTGTTGGTGAAGATGTGGAGAAAAGGGAACACTTGTGTTGGTGGGAATGTAAATTGGTGCAGCCACTATGGAAAACAGTATGGTTCAAGACAGTGATCCAATTTCATTCTTTTGCATGTGACCGTCCAATTTTCCCAACACCATTTATTGAAGAGACTGTCCTTTCCTGAGTGTATAGTCTTGGCTCCTTTGTAATAAATTAGTTGACTATATATGCATGAGTTTATAGAGTTATGTGTTTTTATGCAAATACCATACTGTTTGAATTGCTACAGTTTTCTATCATTTGACGTGAGGGAGCATGATGCATACAGCTTTGTTCCTTCTTTTAAAGGTTGCTTTGTCTCTTTGGGGTATTTTGTGGTTCCATACAAATTTTAGAAAGTGTTTGTTCTATTTCTGTGAAGAATACCATTAGAATTTTGATAGGGATTGCATTAAGTCTGTATATTGTTTGGATAGTATGGACATTTTGATAATATTTATTCTTCCAATTCATGAATGCAGAATATCTTCCAATTTATTTGTGCTTTCTTCAATTTCTTTAATTACTGCTTTATAGTTTTCAATATACAGATCTTTCACTTCCTTGGTTAAATTTATTCCTAGGTACTTTTATGCTTTTTAATTCAATTGTAAATGGGATTTTCTACGTTTTTATTAGTGTATAGAAATGCAACAGATTTTTGTGTATTGATTTTGTAGTGTGCAACATTACTGAATATGTTAATTAGCTCTAAGCTTTTTTTTTATGGCGTCTTTAGGATGAATAAAAGTGGTGAAAGTGGGTATCCTTCTCTTATTCCTGATCTCAGAGGAAAAGCTTTTAGCCTTTCCGTGAAAGTGGGTATCCTCTTGTTCCTGATCTCAGAGGAAAAGCTTTTAGCCTTTCACCACTGAGTATGATGTTAGCTGTTGGCCTGTCATATATGGCCTTTATTAAGTTGAGGTACATTTCCTGTATACCCACTT